TCTCTCTCCTCCTCTCTCTCTCTCTCTCTCTCTCTCTCTCTCCCCCCTCCCTCTGTCAAGAAACGTCAAGAACGGGATGTCTGGGTATCGTTATGTATTCTATTTAGCTACGTTTTTATGTAATTACTAGGGGGGCTGAACTTGTGGATTGGGGGGGTGCTAAATCCAATTCTTCTTCACAAAACTGGTTCCTTTCCCTTCCTTCTTTTTCCCTCCCTCCGTGAAATCAACCTCCCAGTTCGAGATTCTTTTTCCCCTTCCTGTTCTAAATTTGAAGATTGGTGATGAAAACAACTCGCTTCAACCCCTTACAGTTTCCAAACCCGTATCCAAGGGGTAAAAAAACAAAAAAAAAGTCTTCATCAGTTACATACATGAATAAACACACACCCATCCATCACTTCCCCACCCGGTACCACCCCACCCATCCCTACATTTAAAAAAAACCCCCTTCACAACCAATCCCCATCGCACACCGGTACCGGTATTCAACCCTTCCCAAACCCGCGCAACCTTAATCTCCAACCCCAAACCGCACTCGCAAAAAGCGTTGATGCTGCTTTAGCACTTCTTAACTAACACACACATATAACAAACTGTGTCATCAAAATAATCACACTACTTATTGAAACAGAAACATCCCGCTGAACAACAGCAAAATAAACCCTTGCCAAATCCTCAAACATCACCAAGAAGATATATATAACCCCCCCCCCCCCCCCAAGCCGCCCAATTTTTACGGATTCGAGATTTTGAACCTCAGAACCCTGCATCTCCCCCTTTTCCTTCCCTTCTCCATAATAAATATAACTCTTGCTCCTTTGACGTAATCGAGCGGGTTTCAGAATGACTTACTAGAAGTATTAATGAATCAATGAATTAATTAATTCCTGACACTGCTCGCCGAAACCTTACCACGGTACAGGCCTAACTACCGGTAGCCGTATCCCCTAGGTTTAAACGAGACCTTGGCAAGCCGTGCGGGGTGGAGCCTGCCAAGTAGAGAAGCGAAAAAAAAAAGGATTACGCAGCCAGCAAAATCCAACGTCGAGAAGTTGGTAAGGGTCAGAACTGAGCGAATCTCAATATTTTCGTCCCTTTTTTAAATTCATTTTAATTTTATTTTGTTTAATAAATATATCTAAATATCAATTGCAAATTAAATCTATACTTTCTATTACTTTCGACCAATTTCCATATTCGGCTCTATCTTCGTCTACGTATACGATTTTTTTTTTTTTTTTTTTTGTCAATTGCTTCGTGCTTTTCTATAAGCAATTTTTGCTTTTCTGCGATCTTCTTTCCTTTAATCTTAGTATCGTTTTCGCTTTCGCTACGAGCTTTATCAAACGATCTTAGCATATCGATTAATTCGGCGTTTTCTTTATCGAAAAGCCTCGAATATTGCGCTCTTGTATCAATTCTAGTAAATCTTTTTTTTTTCGCAATTGCTCGTATTCAGCGCATTCTACCGATTCGAAATCTGTATCCTAATCGCACTTTAGTAGAGTTTCAATGGTGAGCAAAGACATGTATGTTAGCATATCACGATGTGATAGCGATGCAATTTCTATTCATTTTTGCTGCTCAAACGCTATAGATTTTGATACTTGGCATTTCTGAGTCATCCATTCCTGCCAATCGGTCACTTGTCGCCGGTGCCCGTCTCCACCGCGCACGGCTTGCCAAGGTCTCATTTACTACGTAAACCAGAGGATACGGTATTACCCCTCGAAGGTGCCTCAAAAGTTTAGTTTCCACTTTAAACCCCTTGGTTACCCTACCTTAAAGGGTGGTAAGGGGTCATTTAAATGGTCCTCTGATCCTCTCTTATAAGAGACGGCCATTGGACCGCTTAAATTCAGTACTAAGCTCTTTTCAATAATAGTTTATCGAAAAGACCGTCCTATTGACAGAGACCGTTTTGTGGCCGTCCTATTACCGTCCCCGTTTATATTTCCAAAACAAGCTTATTAATAAGCTCGTTTTAAAAAATCAAAATACTTCGATGACCATTTTAAAGAAAATATAATTATAGATAAAAATCATCTTTTAAATAAAATTGTTTTAATAATAATTTAAGAAGTTCGACGCTAAGATATTTCTCGGTATCGCTGCTAGGGCTTATATATCAACGCTTTAATTTTTTTATAATCGAAATCGATCGATTTAGCAAAAGTTTGCTCGCGTACGACGGCCGCCTTTATAGCATTTATTAAGAAAGGGGTGTAGTATCGGTGGCATGAGGAAGGGGTGTAATAGGTGGTTCAGGTAGTAAAGGGAAGACTAGCACGTAATAAAAAGACTATTTGCTTACTAATTTACGTTCCTAAGGACGGTTTTAAGCTCAAGGACGGCTATAGGACGGCTATGGGACGGCCATAGGACGGTCTTAGAACGCTCGAAGACGGTCTTAAGACGGTTTTTATACGAAAAGACGAGTATTTAAAAAAAACCATCTAATTGAATAAAATAGTTTTATTTTAGCTACGATTTAAATAATTTAAATCGTTTGTTTTCAGATTTTATTTAATCTTAAGTATAGGCCTGGGGTGATCTACTAGCCATGCTAACTTACTAAAATCGTCCTTAAAAGAGATGGTTATCGGACGATCAGCAGACCGTTTAAATGCTCCTGCATTCCCCTTTAAGGTACCCTCAAGGGGTAATACCTACGCCTGGGACATAATACTTAGGCCTATACCATGATATAAAGATACGTCACTTTAAAAATCGATTTGTCGATATCATATTTTTATTTGTTGATAATCAAGTCCTTAACATCTTATAATAAAGAGAAACCTGGTTTCCATCTACCAAACTCTTTCCCTCCTTCCCTTCGAAATACATTGAGCTTAACCCTATTGTCGAAAAAGATATAAAAAGAGCAGTCCAATTGCTCAATAGATCTCAGCTCTAGAGTAGAATCCAATCCACTTCCTATTCCGTCGCTAATTCCATGCTTACTATAGCCCCGCAATAAGCAAAGCGAGCGAGCGAGCGAGCGAGCGAGCGGATAAGGCCTTGATTGTAGCTAGTTCCAAGTGCAAGGAACTTGAATGATCAAGCCAGGCGTGAGCGTAGTGTTGTTCGCAAGAAGGTCGTTATTCAAGGACTTTAAACCATCCTCGCTTGTGCAGAAATCCGCCGCAACGAGCGACAACTCGTCGTCATCGGCGACCGTATAGTACCCATTATCACTGCCCGGGATCCTCGCGCAGTCGCGAATTCGCCATCGGCAAGGAACTCTGAGAACGTTTCCTTCTTCAACCGTAGGCCCAGCGTTCATATCCTGCAAGTCTTTTACAGAGCTGCAAAGGTCCGCCGCGACAACAGTCCAGTTGTCAGAGGCTGCCCACGTGTAAAAGCCGATGCCGGTTCTGAAGGTAGCTATGTCGCGCTTGCATTTTCGACGGAAGGCGGTTGCGACGGCGAGGAAGGAGGCGAGCAAGAGGAGGCTTTTATTAAAACGCATGATGGAGTTGGTAAATGAAAGTGATCGTATCAACGAATTGAGCTTGTAGGAAGATTGTAGAGCACAAGAATAAATATACAAAGAGGAATAGCTTTTCTTATATAGTTGTGACTGCGAAATTGCGAGGCAATTTCGTATATATACTTCTTATTGCTACTCTCCTTTCCTCTGAATACGACGTTACAGGCCTAAATTAAAGGCAGGTAAGGGTCCATTTGAGCGGTCCTTTGACCCTTTTTCATAAAAAACGGGTCTTAGACCGTTTGAAATCACTACTAGTTACAAATCAAAAATAATTCACCTTTTTGATCGTCCCCTGACCTTGGGGCCGAGCCGTCCCTGTCTATATTTTTAAAGCAAGCTTATTAAGAAGCTCGTTTCAAAAGACCAAAATAGTTCGATAGCCGTTCGAAACAAGATACGGTTATAAATACAAATTATTTCTTAAGTGGAATCGTGTTAATAATTTGATAGATTCGAGGCTAAGATATTTCTCGGTATCGCTGCCACGGCTTGTATATCAACGCTTTAAAAAAAATTTATATTCGAAACCAATCGATTCAGCAAAAGTTCACCCGCGCCACAGCGCCTCCTCCGACTACATAAAGGATAGTACGGTATGTCATAAGGGTGGTATAAATAGTAGAAAGTAGACTAGCAAGTAATAGAAAGATTATTTGCTTACTAATTCACGTTCTCGAGGACGGTTTGAAGTTCGAGGATGGCCATAAGATGGCCATAAGACGGTCTTAAAACGCTCGAAGACGGTCCTAAGACGGTTTAATCGAGTAAAACAGTTCCATTCTAGCTACGATTTAAATTATTTAAATCTTTTGTTTTCAGATTTTATTATTAATCTTAAGTATTGGCCTAGGGTGATCTACTAACTATGCCAACCAACCTCTTGGAATCGTCTTTCAAAGAGACCGTTATCGGATTGTCAGCTGACGGTTTAAATAACCCCCTTACCTGCCTTTAAGGTACCCTCGAGGGGCAATACTTACGCCTGGGCCGTAGTACTTATAACGTTAGTTAATTTTCAAATCTTATCAAGCAAATACTTACTTAAAGCTCGATTGAAGCTTGGGAAAAGTAGGTTAAGTGTTTTCGGCTGTGGAAACGTTCAGATACCTACCTACGTAACTACCTTTAATCCTCAATCTTCGATGAGTAGACTCTGTAAAATAAAGATAATTCTTTTCTTCGAAACGCACTTTTCCTGGAGGCCGTAGGCGCTACTAGCTTTCCAACATTCGTATCCCAGCATTCGTATCCAACCGCTTCCTTATTCATCAAAGTTCTACACCGCGCACACAACACAAACACAATACACAATACGGCACACCACAACACACCTAATCAAAACCTCTCATCCCCCATCCCAGCCCCCACTCCCAGCCCGAACCCATAAGGATTCCACTCCTGGCCCGGGTAAGAAGTAGCACTCATAGCCGGCTCGTGGAATTCCTCCAGCTCGGCCGGACCCCGCTTCCCCTCTCCTCTCTTCCCTCCCACATCCGCCGCTGACCGGTGCTCCATTTTCTCGGCGGCGGCAATGGCAGCTCCAAAGCCATGACCGAGTCCGCTGTCAGGCGGTGTCTTGAGTCCTTGAGCGTGTGTATTTACCGTGCCCTGAGCCTGAGCGCTGGCTGGAGTAGACAAAGAAGTAGAGGGATAAGGATAAGGATAGGGATAGCGATGAGCACTGCCATTACCGTTTCCGCTGCCGTTGCCATTAGCGTTAGCGTGATGCAGAGGCATCACGGCGACCGCATCAGCAAGGACCGGACTAGCGTCATACAAGTCGTCGTCGACGACACTCTCCCTCCGGCCCCGAACTTCAACCTCCGTCCTTTTGATCTCCCCATCCCCTCCCCTACTTCCTAGACCGTGGAGCGGATTTGGCGGCGTAGGCGTCATGCCCCGCACGCTCTCTCCTACGACTTGTAAGCCGCGATCGCTCGGTCCGATGCCTGTACTGGTTCTGGAGGTTGAGCTGGCGGGTAGAGCCGTCCTCCGCGTGTTCGAGCGATCAAGCTCCGCATTTACCGCGCTAACCGGCAAGCTGGGCTGCCTCTCATGTCCCTGTCCATGTCGAAGCGCATATTGCGATTCGAGATGGCTGGGCCACTGTGGCATCGGCGGCGCGGGAAGATTCTCCGCGGAAGGGTTAACGGGCGAGAACACCGTATCATCCGGCAGTGGGTACCCAGCTGGACTGTCCGGATGTCGAAGTGAAGGCTGCTGGAGTCGTTGGATGGTGTCCAACTTCAGCTTGAGAGACTGCTGAGGGGAGGTGGGAGGTGGTGTGTATTGTAGAGTCAATTCCTCTTCGTCCGGTTCGGAGTTGGGGATGGAGATTTGGTAGGGGCGTTGTTGGTCGTCGGGGTGTCGTGCGGGAGAGCGGGCGAGGAGATCTTCGCGCGAGGGGCGGCGGTTGGAGTTGATGTAGCCCATATGTGTTTCATGGGCACCCATTCGCGGCTGCTGCTGAGACACGTTGTATGGCGAGCCATTCCCATACTGTTGTACGTTCGAATTGAAGAGGTACCAATGTTGCTGTGGATCGTGGCTAGGCGAGACGTTGTTTTCATACGGCGGTCTCGACCCAGCGGTTGGTCCTCGAGTATCGATTTGGTGTTGCTGCTGCTGCATGCGGTTGAGACCCCTCGGATCATATTCAGTCGGTACACTCATCGCCCCTTGCCCTCTCACAAGCGAATATCCGCGAGGAATCGGGACACTGTCGTACTGCGGCTCCCTACTAACCCTGCGTCCACGATCCTGAACCTCGAGTGCAGGATCCTGGAACAGGCTTTCGCGCTGCCGCGCAGAAGGCGGTCCTCGAATCTCTTGCTCAGGCGGATAAGTCGAGAGAACAGCCTGGGGCCCAGCCTGTGACCGACCACTCCCCTGAATCCTCGAATCCTCATTCCCCTTCTCCTTCTTCCCATCCTTCTTCCCCCAAATCCCACCCAACAAGCCCCTAGACGAGGACCTTGGCGTTTTAATAACCTCCCTCGGTCTCTCCAACATCGTTCCCCCACCGACTTTCCCCCACCCACCACTCCTCCTGCTCTGACTCTCCGCTCGTGAATTTGGCTCCTGAGGTGGCGGTGATGTGTAGGCACCCTGAATCTGCGGCTCAGACATCGGATTCTGCATCGGCTCTTGTACCGCATTTACATTCCCCTTTCCGGCGCTCTGTCTCCCAAACAACCCACCCAAAACCGAGAAACGATTCTTCGCACTCTTCTCCTTCGTCATCTTGGGCCAGTCCATCATCCCAGTGGTACTCTGCCTCACTAGTTTTTTCGGCTTCTCTGCTTTCTTCTCGCTCCCAAAGAATCTCCGCTTGTCAGGGGACGATTGAGGCGTTTCGAGTAAGTCAGGCCGCGACCCAGCATGGTGCGCACTATTCCCAACAAACGAATTCTTACTTAAATGGCTAAAAATGCTCGATCTCTTCTTCTTGATCTCGGCGTCTTCCGGGTTCGGAATGCTAGATGCAGCTCTCGAGTCTAAGATGCGATCTGGTGAGCGAGACGTGAAGTTCCTCCTATTTCTGGAAGAAGTCCGCGATAGTCTGCCGCGGAACAACCCCGAGGAGCGGCGGACAGGATACAGGTCTGGCGGGGGCCCGATGCCATGTAATTGATACTCGCTTGTTTGTTGTCGCGGCAAGAAGGCCTGGGCCCGTGCGATGGGCGCTTGGTAAAGATGATCTGGGAGGTCGCGCTCACGATCGAGCTCTTGGGAGGCCGTTCTTGGATTCTCAACGACCGTTTGTTGCCCGGTTCTGAAGAGCTCCGGGTATCGAGATGCGGAAGATGGGGGGAGATCTAAGGGAAATCCGTGTGGGGGAGATGTATAGCCGCCATTCTCGGAGAAATTGCTATCTTGACCCTGAATCATGCTGTTTGATCCAGAGAAGCCGCGTGACCGTGGCTCGGTGTCCCACGAGTTGGCGCGGTTTGCCGGCAAGTCCATTTCCTTGCTGTACATATCTGATGAGTATGATAGCTGAGGTCTCACAGCGGCTTTAGGGCGGTTGGGCCTCCATTCTACATGCGACTCTTTGAACTCGGGACGTTGAAGAATATCTGCTGCCCGGGGCGGAGTGAATCCAGAACTTGGCGGTTCTCGTTGCGGAGTAGGCTGGGATTGCTTCAAAACACGAGCTTGGTTGGATGGTGGTTTCTCAGCACCGGCTTGAAAATGCGCGAATTCCTCCTTTTCGGGATCACTCGCCAGCTGCCGGTGACTTTCAACCCTCTTAGGTGATGGCGCTCTCATCTCTGACGGCGCAGGATCTCTCTTGTCCCAATGATTAGTTTCATCAGCGCCATCTAAAGCCTCCGGCTCTTTCGTCAAGTCCGCAGCAAAAGAGGGTCTCCTCCGTACAGTATCAAGACCTCTAGGGGGAGTTTGCTGGAACGAAAAAGGTCGCAGGGGCAAAGGGCCAACAGCTGCACCTGTATTGATCGGCGGGAGCTGACGTGGTGATCTGTTACGCACAGTATTTGCAGTAGCAGAAGCTGGCTGAGAAAGATGCCCAACGACTTTCTGAGGAGGAGTCTGTACGAAAGAGAGTGGCTGGCGAGAGATGGGATCGACAAAGCCTGTTTCTTGCACCACACCTGCAGACGAGTGTGCTTGTGCATCGACCTCAAATCCAGGCGGCGGGAACGAAATCGATGGCACAGGTACACTCAGTACAAGAGGAGCCAACTCCTCTCTCACACCCCAGGTATCCGTCACATCCGCAGGACCTTGATCTTGCCTATCACCGGCAGGCGCAGCAAGCGCGGAATCGTCAGTCACAAAACCCGGCGGTGGAAATGAGCTCTGGCTACTCTGTCTTTCCGCCCTGATTCGCGGAATGGGAGGAGCATAGTCCTCCTGAACACCCCATGTATCTGTACCATACTCCAGACGGAACCCTTCCTCTACAGGCGACGAAAGTTGCTTTTGAAAACTTGAGCCTAACTCAAAAGAAAGCGGACACTCCCCCGTAGCGTGATCTTGCCCTTGCGTTTGGTTTTGCATCGCAGTCGCCGTCTCACTCCGGTCCCAACGCGCCGCATCCCCAGGCCCATCAGGCGCATCCTCACCGCCCTCCTCTCCTCGCTGCCGCAAACCGCTGGCTACAGCTTCAGTCCCAGGACCAGCAGCCGGATGATCCATACCCGCACCCTCCCTCTGCTCCATATTCATCTCTTGCTGCTTCCCATCCTCCCTCGTGGACAATTGCTCCTCATCACCTCCGACTCCAGTCTCAGAAATGCGCTGATTTGGCTGTCTAGAGCGGGGGTTTAAGGCAAAATCTGAGGTTCGGCGGATGGGAGATAGGGACGCGGATGTAGAACTCCTCTTCTCTTGGTTAGTTGCCGGCGGTAAACCGTTCTTGCCCGTAGGAATTGGTGGCAAATTTGATATCGGTGTGGCTGTGATCGGAGAAGAAACAATCGCAACAGGCGAGTTAGCGAGTGGTGATGGCATCACTTTGCCAGGCACAGAGAACCCTGGAACACCATCGCTCAGACTGACTGTGAGACTTCCTCGGGGGCGGTTGAGAATACTCGTCGTCGAACCCCCATCGATACTGCGTCGCATCTCCTCTCTACCCCCCAAGTGGGAAACAGGATTCGCAGGAGTCGACGGACGCGAGCGGTCATAACTGAGGTAACCGAGGTTCCCCCCCGGACGATTGAGAATTCCCAAGTCCGCACCAGCTACAGAAGTTTTCAGAGGCTCAGGATTCACTAAAGTCCAGTCCGCCCCTGCACCCCCAACCTCAACCTCATCTTCATCTCCATCGCCTTTCCCCTCCATCGCATCAAAAAACAGCAATTCCTCAATCTCACTGTCACTATCACCTCCGCCCTCAGAACTTACCAGCAAACCTCGCTCATTCACAGGCAAAGTAGCAAGCTCAGGCTTTCCCCTTTCTCTACTCCCCCTCCAACGTGCATCCTCATGAGAATGCTCCAAGACCGTCTGGTTCCCACCTCCGTCTCTATTGAAAGGAGCCAAGGTGGACGACAGCCCGGTGATCTCTCTCGCACTCGAAAAGTCCAGAATTTGCCTATTCCCATCCCCATCCCCATTCCCATCCCCATAGTTTAAAGTTCCGGCGACGCCGGAATTCCGCTCAGGCCCAGCACCCACACTTGAAACTTCCAGGAAAGACCCTGTTTCCACGACCGGGAGCCGCGGAGCAATACTGGGCGGTATTGTTTGACGAGATGGCGATGGTGACTGCAGCGAATCAGGAATGCTGCTCTGACTCCTTCCATCCCTGGAACGGCGGGACGACGCCATAGCGAGCGGGATGCCCCAGGAGGAGCGGCGTCGGTTGGCCTTGGGGGACTTGGGCTTTTCTCTCTCTTTCCCTTTATCTTTTTCTTTTCTTTCCAGATTTTCCGGGCTGGATGGTGTCTAGGGGTCGGCGACAGTGTAAGTGAGAGCTTCATTTCAAAACAAGGTAAATATTGTACATCTTTCATCAATTCATCATCCATGGATGGGGCAAGAAGAACAACAAGTACAAGAAGTAATACGTAAAAAAAACGGCGGCTGCATTTCCCTAGTACACCTGCTAAGCAGGTCTAGCATCGCAAGAAAGAAAGTGGAAAAAAGACCAACGACCACCGCGCTCATTTACTAATCAAGAGTAAGGGTTATGACCAGTATGCAGAATGGAGAAGCGTGTAAACGCCTAATCGCCCAAACATCCCTCGCTACAAAGGAGATGCGTTAATCTACCTTGTCGCCGCCACGGGCAGCTAGCTTGTTCTTGCCCTTTGCAAGTAATCCCTTCCCAACCTTGCCTGCCTTGCCACCGAAGACTCCTGCGGTGTGGAAGAATTCCTTCCCTTTTGCCTGGACTTGCTGAGTCGAGATTTTGGTACCAGAAGACGAGAAGCCTTGCGGCGAGCCAACGGGAAGGCCGGGAGATGTCTTTGGTCCGCTGGATCCGCCGGGACCACCACCGCTGACTGGTGTCGATGGTGCTGGTGGAGGAGTGGCATTCAGATACTGCTGATAATACGGTTGCTGAAGAGGTAATGGAGCACCACCAGTTACTCTACTAAACTTCGACCTTGCTGATCCGCTCGGCATTCTTCCCGCTCCCCATGAGCCCGAAACAATACCAAGTTCTGCAGGAAGTTCTGATTGCAGTTGTGACATCCAATCATCCAAACCAGAATCCATGGACGCAAATCGTTCTCTTGTTTCATTGAACGTTTTGATCCGCTCTTGAGGTGTTTTCATAGCAATGATTTCGCGAAAGGCAATCAGTCTGCCCGTTGGTGCAGGGGCTGAACTTGCAGATTTTTGCAAACGAGATACAGTGCTAGGAGAGCCGGGGGGGTGGGGAGCAATGTCAGGGGAGTTCTGGATGTCTTGTTGAGAGGATCGAGATGGATGCTCGTCCTCGGAAGGTGTAGGAGAGACAGGATCTGAAGATATTCGAGGATCTTTCTCCTCTGGTATAGACATGCGACGAGGTTTGTCTTCGGTTTTGTCCACGTAGGTGACTGGAGCTGCACCTGCCAAAGCCGCACCACCGGTCACAGTAGCAGCTTCTCTGACAAGATGATGCTCACCAGAAAAATCTTGTGAGAAATTGTGCTCCGGAGTTTGAGGCATTGATTTCTTATCACCCTCCGCTGGAACTTCAGACCCTGGCAATTCGCTGATCTCGGCACTCTTCGTTGGAGCATTCACGGTACAGAGGGAGCCTGTATCACGGTTCACACCTGCAGTAACGTTCTTAAGGCTTTGCTCCCAAGAGAAACAACTGTCAGGAGTAGGTTGAGGGGGTTGGACAGAGGCTGTACCACGGTTCACACCTGCAGTAACGTTCTTAAAGCTTTGCTCCCAAGAGAAACAACTGTCAGGAGTAGATCGAGGGGGGTCAAGAGAGCCTCCTTGCTGGTGACGAGAGCTCAAAGGAGCTATAACAGGGACAGGTTCATCAGTAGGAGCATTGATCTGTGTTGATGCTGGTGGAATAGTAGGGTCATCTTCGTCTTGCTCCGAATCCCAATAGCTGTCATATTCTTGAGGAAGGTATGAGCTTTCGCGAGTTCGGTTCGCAATACTTGCGCGGTTATCCGGTGTAGAGGATAGGTGACTGTCATTTTGGGCAGTGGCATCTGAGGGTCGAGGACTGAGACTTCTGACAATCTCTTTACGAAGCTTCTCGTTTTCCTCGTCATAATTCTGGCTGTCCGTAGGCACCGGCCTCGTAATTGTTTGCGTAGTATCTTCAGTGGCAGGAGCTTGCGGGATGTGGCCTGGGCTATCGCTGTGGGAATCTGTATTGGTGGAAATTTTGGGCGGAAGCGGGGAAAGCATGGACATGGCTGATACAGGTCTGTCAGTCACATCTGGACGCGGTTGAGACTGTGTGGGGGCTTCTTCACGCTGTCTTGGGTCTAGATTAGAATGCCTACTCCCTCCAGGTGACATCGCAGGAACACCAGACAGCGTCTTTGGCTCCTCGGCAGGTGGGTTCGGGCTCGCGTTAGTGATAGGCGTAAGATCACGTTTACCTTCGTCTCGTTGCTCGTACACAAGAGGCGCCTCGACAGCAGGAGTCTGGACAGTAGGCGCCCGAACAGCGGAGGGAGTATGGGTCTCGTTCTGTGCTGTTGTAGCGTAAGAAGTCCAGCCTCCTGGAATTGATGGACGGAAGCTATTTTCGCGCTCATTTATAGGGCGCGGTGCCTGGAAAGGCTCATCGTCAATGGGAGAAACGCGATCGTGAGGAATGTCGTCCACAGCAGCGCGTTGACCATGGGCAAGAGTATAAGAAGGTACCAGATCAGGGGTCCTTGCTGGGCTATTACGAGGACTTGGTGTGCTAATGTCTCGGCGATGACCTGGCTTAAATCCTGGAACAGATTGAGACGGGAGCCCATCTCTGCTGTCAACAGGAGTGTCTGGAGAAGCTGGTTCGGGAGCTTCCAAGATGGCTGAAGTGCGGTTTCGAGTTTCGGGAACTGCATGACTAGATACTCTGCTCATGATAGGACTGATACCGGTCGTCCCGGTGCTTTCACTATCGGTCCTCCTTACTCCACTATCACTTCTGGAAGCTGGGGTACTCGGATATGACTGGTCATCGGTTCGATCAAATGCTTGGTGCACAACAGAGTTAAACCCAAGTGACGGCTGACTTCGCAATTGTAACTCCTCTACAGGGGAGGATAGATGGGTATTGGCCGCTGGAGTGTTTTCTGATTCCTGTTTGACATCCTCCATATCTTGAGGAGCGAATAAATCCATGTCAAATCCTGACAATCTGTTGAGGTCTGGTAGCTTTGGGCTTGTCGATTGCAGCCTTCCGTCTTCTACATCGGGGTTTCGGGTCTGGACCGTAGTTTCTTCCTGGCTGGGTTTTCCTTCTTTAAGCGGATTGGAGCTCTCGAGATCATACTCGCTCCTCCTCTCCTTGACAGACTCCAGCATTGGCATCAAACGCGAACCCGAATCTCCAGATTCGTCATTTTCGAAACTATTCCTACTCTTAGCAGCACCACTCACACCCTCCGAGCCAGGCTTTGTCGGACCCTCAGACTTCACGGAAGAGCCCGTACTAGGTCTATGAGCCGAGTCAATAGACGCCCGTCGTTCCTCCTCGGCTCTCTTATATATCTCTGATGGCCTGGTAAAAGGATGTGGCTTGCCAGTAGTCGGAGACCCTTGTGGTTGAGCGCTTGTACCCGGAGAGGCAGATCGAGGTCCAGCCCATGGCTTTGGTGTAGCATCCCCGGAGTTTTGTTGTAGTATGTCTCCCAATGCAGGAGCGTTGGGCTGGCTCAAACTACTCCTACGAGGAGGGAATTTCTGGGTTTGGGTATCGGCTGCACTTTGGGGCGCGGGAGAAGAACGGGTGTTGAGCGGTGGAGGCACATCCGAAGGAGAATAATCTAGGGGGGCATGGTGATCGGTCGCAGTTGAAGGACTCTTTGTATCAGAAGTCAAAGAGCTTCCCCCAGTTTCGGGTCCTTCAGGTCTTGATAACAGGACATCTGCTTGTGCTGGTGAAGACTCCATCATAGGTGACAAGACCTGATTGGGGTTACGGAGACCGCCCGGACCTTGAGACGGTTGTTGGGTTCTTATCGACAGAGCTGGCGGGCCACTCGCATTTCGGACTGTCGGCTGACCAGTTATCTGAGAGAATCGTGTGGCAGGCGCATTCATAGCTGGTGGTGGTTGTGCCGTAGCGCTTGAGAAGTTCCGCGTCTCGTCGTCTGCATCGAAGGAGTTCGCTCGTGCTCGCGGATTGCTCGCCCCAGTTAGAGGGGGGAGGTCACCATTCTTCCTGCTCTCGGCCGCCGAGTCTACCTTTGAGGATCCTACGAGACTTTGACCTCGCTGTCGCATCCCGGTCGCTTTGGGTGCTGGCACAGGAGGTAAATCGTAATCGTCTTCGTCGCCCCAGTCATCGCCACCGTAGTCCACAGGTTTCGCTTCGGCCCATTTCTTCGTCTTCTGCCGGCTGACATTCGCCTGGTAGGAGACGGCGGACTGCGAAGTCCTGACTGCTGTTAGTCTGAAGTGATTGCTTGCCGCGAGGCAGGTGGGGAATGGGGACTGGGGAATGGGGACTGGGGAATGGGGAATGGGGAATGGGGAATGGGGACTGGGGACTGGGGAATGGGAATGGGGATATGGGTCAAGAGTCCTCACATTGGAGAAGCGTTGTCGAAAGTATTTGGGAATGGATGCGACATGTTTGGCGGGATATAGGGAGGTATATGTGTATCGGCTGGTACTTCACGAAGTCCTGTATTCCGGCTGTCGTGAACATGGGCAAGAAGGAGGGTGCATGGACGTTGGAAATCCGGGATTGCGTGTTGACGATCTTGGAAGACAATACGAAGTACGGAGTATGGGTTGCGTTACCCAGCTCTGCTCTGCGGTGTTGTTTCCTTCTCCTCAGCGAGGTTCGGTCCGTCGAGGGAAATGAAACTGAACGGAGAGATGCTATGAACAGCGACGCCGGGACACGGGGGGTTGGGTATTTCTATCGGGACGTGGGGAGGGGGAAGTTAGAAGTTGTTGATATATTTTCAGATCATGGTCCTTGATCTTAATCCAAGTCCTAGGCCTGACCCCTGTCGAGAATATGTACCCACATTATTCTGCACAGCCACGGGTTTTCACCAATCATAGACGAGTGTGGCTGCGTCTGTGCCACGCCTCGCTAGCTACACACACACTGGTCTGTCCCTATCTTTCGCATCCTTTTTTAGAAAACGTTTATGCAGGGGTTCCTTTCAACGACGAGTACCAACCAACTGTCCTATCCCCGCAAAGAGAGCTCAATCTCAATCTCAGTCTCAACTTCATCTTCAACTTTCAACTTCAACTTCAACTTCAACTTCACTTCAAAAAAAACCAAATCAAATCCTCCACTTTGAACTGTAAACATCCTAATTAGAGAATCTAGTCTTATCCCACATCGCGGACACTCCTTCCTTGATTTTCTTTGTCCACAATTCGAGCCGAGTCTATCGCTACCGCGCCACAGCGGCTCTCCATTCCAAACCAGCCCTTCCACATTACGCGCGAATCGAACAATCCAGCGCGGGCTTCGTCATCGTCATGGCCGTCTCATCCATCCAGGACCGGACCAACGAGTTCAGGTCCGTACTGGCACAGGCGCAAAAGAGACAGGCTTCGTCAAAGGTCGGCGCACAAAGACAGTCCCTTCTAACCGACTCGCAAAAGGCCGCTGCAGATGGCAGCGCAGATGGGAAACCCAGAAGGTCAGAGTTCGCGCGTAGGGCGGCGGAGATTGGGAGAGGCATTTCGACGACGATGGGAAAACTAGAAAAGCTGGCTCAATGTATACCTTTCCGTCCAGAATCCCTGCGGCGACATGCTGACCCAACGCAGTGGCCAAGAGGAAAACGCTATTCGACGACAGGCCGGTAGAGATCAACGAGTTGACATCCATCATCAAGCAAGACCTCTCGTCACTCAACCAACAAATCGGGGCCCTTCAAGCGATCTCCAGATCGCAACACCCTAAAGCCGACCAGGAAGGCGAGCACAACAAGAACGTGGTATATCTGCTGCAGGGGAAGCTTGGCGATATATCTCTAAACTTCAAAGATGTGCTCGAGGTCCGCACAAAGAACATCCAAGCCTCGCGCGCCCGGACAGAGAACTTCGTCTCCTCCGTCTCCGCGAACGTTGCCCCGCAAATACAACACTCCGCCTCGCCCCTATATCTCACTCCGAATCGTGGTTCTCCCGCGCCCGGCCAGGACCTGCTATCCTTGAATCCGGTGGGCGATCAGCAGCTACTGATGATGGAGGAGGCGCAACCGCAGAACTCATACATCCAGCAAAGAGGAGAGGCGATAGAAGCTATCGAGAGGACGATCAGCGAGCTCGGGGGTATTTTCGGCCAGCTGGCATCCATGGTCTCGGAACAGAGCGAGATGATCCAGAGAATCGATGCGAATACAGAGGACGTGGTGGATAATGTGGAAGGCGCGCAAAGGGAGCTGCTGAAGTACTGGTCGAGGGTGTCTGGCAATCGCTGGCTGGTTGCGAAGATGTTTGGGGTGCTGATGATTTTCTTTTTGTAAGTCATCATGTCGCTTTGGCCTGGATCTGCCATAATCTGCTACCCGGGGTCAAGGGGGAGAGAAACTATTGCTAACGTGATAACAGACTTTGGGTCCTCATCGCAGGATAGGGCTGCGTCTCGGAATCCAGCACGCACAACGCTCTCTCTTTTGTTCACCTGTACAATACTGTAGAAAGGCATGTGCTGAATATACCAACAATTCGCAGGCTTTACCTAGCCTATCCCTTCATCCCTTATTCCCCTATTTATTCTTTCCGCTCTTCGTCCATCAAACCCGTTTGTCTGTCTACCTTTGCCATCCGTCCCCCTCTTATATTCTCAGACTATAGACGCCACCACTACCAGTCAATCAATCAACACATCGGTCTACACCTCGCTATCGCTGATATCTTCTCTTGTTTAAATGACCTTGGGTTCTCGTGGCAGAAGATGAGAAACGTAACAGAGTTTGTTTTGGAACTTGGTCGTGTATATACTTATGTATATGTATAGGTATATATATATATATATATAAAGGTGTGTATATATTCCTTTATATTTTCTCCCTTAGCTAAGTTAACCCCAGCTTATGTTCCTCTCTCTCAATAAATTTCTAGGAAATTTTATATTTAATTATTCTTTTTCTCCCTCTTTTTCTTTGATTAGGTAAGGTACGTTTATTGTTTCCGTATCCATTTGGGGGGGGGGTCTATATATTCTATGAAAGAAACGTTTCATTATTGGGATTAAGATTGGAATATGCTTTTGTTTGAAATTTCATTGTGATTGCCTTCTTTTTTTTTTTTTCAAAAAAAAAATTAAAA